TTTTATTTATTTTATTTATAATTCTGGCACTGACACTTTTTAAAAAGATTTAAAGTTTATGTAAAGATTTAACTTCAACAAAACATCACAAGACAATTAAGTTTACATCACTTAGATTCTTTGATATATACACTTAAGTATGCTATAAGCTTGAATGAATATAAAGGAAATGGAAACTATATACCACTATTAAAAGATATTCATAATATGAAGTCTGGCAGTACATATTCATATTAGATTTCCTATGATATAGTAAGTGTTCAATGATACAGCATGCACTTGGGAGTTAAAATATTTCTTGAAATATCTTAAGAATAGCACAAAACTATTTTTGATTGATTTTAAATGAATATTACAGACTTTGAATATAAATCTGAATAATTGTTACATCTAAAAGATATTACAACAAGAGAAATAGTCAAAAAAATTTCTAGGAAAACAGTTTGGGCATTTATAATATCAATTTATCTTCTTTTTTCCTTTTTAAGTGTCGGTTTTCTTTCATTTTTTCCATAAAAAGACATGATGTAAAACTGGTAAATATTTCAAAATAATGAAACCTTGGTTTTCTATTTTAAGAATATCATATGCTATTTGGTATTATACTCTGCATCAGTGGAAGGAATACCCATATTGATGAAATCACAGATCCATTAAAATATTGAAGTAAGTCATGTTAATTTCTACTACTCTTATTTACATTGATTTAACAATTTCAACCATGAGCCTAACCATCTAAAACCAAAGTGTGAAAAAATAAAACCAAAGAAAGCTTACCACATTGCAAATTATATAAACCAAGTCACTGAAGTCCAACAGATTATGTATTCAATAAAAGTAAAAGATTTGTAGCAATTATTTGGATAAAATACTCTTTTTTGATTTTGATACTTTTGAACATCATTAACACTGATACAAAAGACCACAGTGATCATTATTGGCACATATAGTACTCCTTTTCTAAGTGTCAGCATACACTATACAGTTAATAATGACAAATTGTTTAATTTCTTACACTTTTTACACTTTTTACTCTTTTGGAAGACAGTGACAAGAGAATGCTAACATCAGAGAAGAGCTTATTTTGCTGACATTCAAAAGACTGCTACAACCTAAATTATATCATAAATTAAGGTTGACATTAGGGTACAAAGCTTGATTTTTAAAAGATCAATATTTCTGCACACAAAACAAAGCTTTGTAATTTATACAGAGAACAATTCAGAGTCATTTTTGTAGGCAGCAGCTACACACAAGCTCTGTTACCTGCAATTACATTTTCCATTAAATATTTTGCTTTTATAGCACATACTGTTACATACTTGTATGATACAGAAAACTCTGCAACAACTACAACAAATTGAGATTTGGTTACTAGAAATTTGTTGCAATTCTTTTTTAGTACTTGGTAGATCTTGAAACACATTTAACAAATTGGAAAATCATAAAATGTTGACTCATGGGAAAATATCTTCTCAATTTTATGCCATAATATTGTCATAATTCTAAATGCTCTAAATATTTTCCACAAAATTGATTAAAACATTCAGAAACTAACATAAAGTTATGAACAAATGTTTCCATTTCCCAAATTGTGTATGGAGTACATTTTGTAGAATAATTATTTTTCACATTATTTTTGAGTTTTTAAAATGAAGTTTCACCATTTTTATAAACTTATGTGCAACTACTTACTTCTTTTTCCTTGATAACAATTTCCTCTACGTAACAGATTTTAAAGGGTGATGAAAATGAAAAAGACCTAATTTATGATTCTTTGCTTCAATTTATTTTTTCCTTTTCTTATAATTTAAAAGGGCCTGTTATATCAAATATACTCATATAAAGTTCATTGAGAGAAATAAAATTACAGAGAAATATTTTGTGGTGTGTAGAGCTTACAAATTATCTCCTAGGAAAAAGATATAAAAACCATCAGGCAAATCTATTTCAAGCTAGTTTTGAGGAGACCATCTATAGAACAAAAAATAGTGTCTCCTGCAGATTATTCAAGAATTATGATTTCAAACAAATGATATAGCTCAGTCAGAAGCAAAAAACTGAAATATCATTATATTATAATGTAATAATTCTATTAAAATATATTCACTTTTATCTCTTTTCTAATTAGTTTCAAAGCAGCTGAATTTGAACTAAGCAGTTTCAAAGCAGTAAAATTTGAAACAGCAGGGATTTTACCCTCTTCTTGAGCTGAATCACAATGCATCAGAATTAAATATATATCTTTTAGAAAGAAATTTACATTTTCTTTAAAAAAATTAATAAAATGATTTTGTGCTTAGACATTATTTTTAAGTTAATAAACCAAAATTTTATCATATTATATTAAAAGATGCTACCAACATTATTTGTGGCATTTTTACGTGGAATGCTCTAAAGTATATAGTGTTAGTCATTCTCTTGTAACTAAAAAAAGCATAATATTTAAAAATTCTGTAAAATATAAACTTAATTTTCTTCATATACTACAAATGTTCTCTGAATCAAAAAGCAAAACTCTAATTTTGTAAGGCTCACTTTTCAGGTATTTATTGTATTTTGAAATTACAAATAATTCTCATGTTGTGCCTTAGTCTAGTATCTAAAAATATGTGGAATATCCTCTTTACCTTTATATAAACTGAAAAAAAGGAAGACTTAAGTGCAACACTAGAAGGGGGTGGGGGTGGAAGTACAGGGACAGTAACAAATAAGAAGATAATTAATTTGTTGATTTCAACAACTGCATTTTCATGTGTGTGTGTGTGTGTGTGTGTGTGTGTGTGTGTGTGTGTGAAGATAAGTAGGACATTTCGAACACACACTGCTTTTGGGGAAAAGTGGCAAATCAGTTTGTATAATGAAATAACAAGATTTAGCAAAGCCAAATGCAAATAATTAAAGCAATGTATAGAGACAAACTGGAAAAACTGAGGTGGTTATTTAGATATGTCAGGAAATATTGGGAGAAAATATTGGGAAGAAAACAGGTCAAATGCTTTGTATGTTTTCTACATAAGCTGAATTCACTGAATAACTACAGATCTTCAGGGCAGTCTGACACCATAATTGCCCAATTCTCTACTTTACCAGTGTAGACAAAGGGTAAAAAATATCAAGGGGACAAAATTCTCAATTACATTACATTTTTTTCTGAAAAGAAAAAAACAATGTTAATATGACCACTGAAACAAATGTTAGTATGAGAGTATCACAGTGAGACTAAGATACTAATTACTTTTATTATACAAAATGATGTTGTGATATAATTTTTTTTTCAGATTCAAGACTTTAACCTACATATAAAGTAGCTTAGAGAATGGATATAATTTACCAAATCCTCATTATAAATAACCATGAAAAAAACTGCAAAACATAGAGGATAGGAGCAACTAGGTGACACAGTGGATAGAGCACCAGCCCTGGAGTCAGGAGGACCTGAGTTCAAATCCAGCCTCAGACACATAACACTTACAAGCTGTGTGACCCTGGGCAAGTCACTTAACCCCATTGCCTAGCCAAAAAACAAAACAAAACAAAAGACCAAAAAAAACCCCATGGAGGATAAAAAATATGTCCTATAAGTGTATAGAAACTGGTTTATGCATAAAAATAGCATTGTATTTATACAGGTCTGCTAGCTCTTCCCCATATATATGTACAAGTGATCTCCTATTCACTTTTTACCTTTCCTCACAGAATCCTTAGCATCCTTCAAGATCAAACATAAGGCTTTTCCTGATCTTCTCTTGTCCCCATGGCCCCATCGCTACTCATTCCACCTTGAATTTTTTTTTTTGCATTTGCCAATGTAAATATTTTATCCAATAGTAAAATGCAAACTCCTTCAGGTCAAGGACAATTTTATTTTCATCTCTGTATCTCCAGTGCCTAGCATAGTACCTTGAACATAATAAGCACTTGACAAATGTTTACTGAATTGAACGGAATTATTTCCAAAACATACTTTTGTTTATATTTTCTAAAAATGCAGCAGTACTTTGTAATCATAACTAGCTCCTATGGAGCTGCAAATACATTGTAATTTGAGATGCAGTTGCATGCATACACATTGTGCTGACTTTAACATAACCATAGAAATAAGAGTTCAGGGATAAATGAACAAATCTAGGGTAAGATAAACATAATTGTCAGTCTTTTACTTGTAAGTGACATTTATCAATTGTCTGTTTAAATATTAGATTATCTCTGATAAGGTTAATATTCAACAGCAGACTAATGTCCTGTCTTAAGTTCAGTATAAGACAAAAAAAGAAAACCTCCATCTTGTGGAGCTGTCACAAATTAACAAGGAAAAAATCTAATTGTGAAAGAAATGATATTGTCTACCTCAACTTGGATTTTTCTACTTTCTTTAATTCATGGAACATTAGCCCCATCCAGTGTTTGTAATATATATTCCCTTTGCTAAAAATCAAGTTAACTGTGAATGCTATTTGAGTTAGGTAAACATTATCCAGGCTTTTCAGATTATTAATTTGTAGTTGTACTATTTTAAAAGGACAAATTCCCAAATTACAAAGGTTAAAATATGAAGATGAGAAATCAATGTTATTTAAAGACATTAAACAAATATATTTAAAATAGTGCTATAAATACATTGTTACCTACATCTCATCCACTGACTTATTCAATTACCAATGTCTCATTTTTAGATTGGGAAAGAAAATTTCTAGGTCACGCATAAAAATAAAAATCTTGAACATGAGAAAAATATGGAAGATGTGCAAACCAAAAGCCAACGTATTCCTTAAGAGTAAAAAAAGAGAAGTGGGCATGTTAAAATTTCACAAACCCAACTAAAATAGTAATATACTATCTGGTCACTATAATTAATAATAATAACTCAATGGGGGAAAATCATTTTTAAGGAAATATATATCACTAAAAACAGACTTGTTTATATCACTAACTTTGTGTTACTGTTTCAAAAGTCATCATTTTGATTAAATTAATGGGAGGAAAGATCTGTTAGGAACTATTTGCATAATGCTAATAAAAGAAAAACAAGCAGAACATGAATATCGATAAGCCAGAAGTAATTATCAATTGGTATTTTAGCAACCATAAAAAGTATTTCCTCAAATAGTTGGTGGTCTTATGTTATTTTTTGTTTGTAAATGGGTACCTAAATTATTATTTAATTAGAGAATCCAGTGAAACCCTTTTAATCTTATACTGGCAAATAAAATGCAGTCATCAAACTGTATTAGCTTGTGTGTGCCAGTTTAGGACAGCAAAATTATCCTCAAAAGATTCTAAATGCAGAATCAGTCTATTGCATCTTCTCTTAGAACCTGATTTGGCCTCAAAGAGAAACTCTACTAAACTATAATGGTGAGAAATAGATCTGTATCTTTCTTATAGGAGAGACTCTTTGTACTTTGATATAACTTTAAATAATCTTTTTTAATTAATAGCCATTAATAGGTAAATTATGGTTGATCAAACTGATTTCAGGTATGGCATTTTGGGGAAGTAACACCGCCATATAGCAGCCAAAATCTTTTCATGTAGAAGTAAATCACATTTTAATGTTTTAGATTATTTTCTATTTGCTATATTGTCATAAATATATTAGTCAGGAAATAAGGATGTCAGAGGACTAAATGCATTTTAGACTAATCAGAAACTACCAAATTTTGGCCAAGAATTGGTAGATTAAAATATCTGTGAACCAAATTTCTTATTTCTGCTCCTGAATAAAATTTCTCATATTATTTTTCTAATTATTTTAGAATTATGAAGATATTTAAAACTAGACTGTAAAAAGAACCAAATAAAAGAGAACCAAACCAGAAATAGGATAGTAAAGTCACCAAAAGCTATTATTCTTCCCCCAGAAGATTTTTTTTTAAAGTTTGTATAGGTCAGCAGCTGAAACTTATTCCACATCAGAAGCATCATTGTCAGAAAGATGATAATTGCTTCCCTTCACCCGAATGTATTCTATGTATCTCCCTTCATCAGAATCTAAAGTACCACATGTACATAATTTGTTTTCAAACAATGATTCAATTTCCTCTAGTTTTCTCCCTTTGGTCTCAGGAAGACAACCATAGATGAAAATGAGTCCCAAACCAGCAAATCCAGCATAGAGAAAGAAGGCTCCTGCAATGGAAAACAATACATATAGTCATGAATTAAACTTTTCATTCTAATAAATAGCCAGGTTTCTATGGCCATTTTTGAGGGGAAAATGATAGTATTATTATTAATCAGCACCTACTATAGTTAGTTCCTTTGCATGTGATAGTCAATAAACAATGGTTGAATAAATAAGAGATTGACAGAGAGGTAGAAAAAAGGCTGGACAGAGTATGCCCATGTATGTATATATATTTATGTATGTATGCATGTATGTATTATATATGTGTGTACTTATGTATATATGGAAATAGAGGAAAACAGGTTAATAGAAATCTCTATCATTTCTAATCCCCAAGCACTCTGATTTATCATTAATTTGCTACTGTTATAGAAACTTACCTAAAGTCTAGGATTCTTGTTATACAACCAAAAATGTGCCTGGTTTACTCTGGGTTGTCCTAGTGCTGTGAATGACTAAATTGCCTATATTCCTTTCATGAAGCTATGTCATGAAGGCAACTACATACTAAGCCTAGCTAATAATATTTTATTGCAGTGGTCCATCTTCTCTTCTTATGTAAACCTTTATTGTGTATAACTCAAAGCCCATCCACAATGATAAAAACAAAGACAGGAAAAACCCCCAGAATGCTAAGCTGTGACACAATGTGGTTATGTTGTTTTAGGTTATTTTTAATGCCACCTTTATTACTATATTTATTATTAAACTAAGTACACTCTGATGAAGCAGTTTTCAGGTGCCCTGAAACAGTAATAAATTGAGATCTCTTTGTAAGGGAATTTAACTGAGATTAAAGGAAGTTCATACCTGCATTTCAATTAAGTTTAACTTGGAAACAAATAGGTATTAAGATTGTGAGTTGCCAAAGTCAACCTAAGAGATCAGATTATATCTAAATGTAACATGTTGGACCATTTTAAAGGAAAGTAGCTGGTAAACTCGAATAATTAAATGAATATAGAATCATATGATTTTGAATTAGAGAAGACCTTATATATAATTTAATCCAATCCTGTCATTTTACAGGAGAAGAAATGATATCCAGAGAAATTAAGGGACTTGCTCAGCATCACAGAGTAGGTGATAGAACCATATCATTTTGCTAGGACTAACTAGCTAAATCAAACATGTTATATATGCAGACACAGCATAACCTCAATGCCATAAAAAGTGGAACTCATTCCATATTGAGATTTCTCACTAGCAATTTTGTTGTCATTTCAGTCATGACCAACTTTTCATGATGCTATTTGGGTTTTTCTTGGCAAAGATATTGGAATGGTTTGCCATTTCCTTCTTCAGCTCATTTTGTAAGGCAAACAGGGTTAAGTAACTTGCCCAAGGTCATACAGGTAGTAATTGCTGGAGGCTATATTTGAACTCAGCTCTTCCTGACTCTAGGCCAACCCTAGCTGCCCAGCAATACAATAAATCCCTATAAAAAGACCTACTTCAATGTCTCATTATGACTCAAGGGTGAGCTTGGTTTCACAATAGCCATAGCAGGAAGTATGACCTCTGGTATATTCTACCAAGGTGATGAGGCTTCAAGCAAGGTTCTATTGATGGACACTATTTTCTGAGGATCAAGCCTGTCCCAGTATAGGGAGGTATAGAAGGTTAGCCAACAGGTGTTGAACTGCTAAGCTTTGGTGACTGATAACAAATGAAAATACAAGATAGTTTTTAATTCTTTTCAGCTCTTCCATTTTGTAGTGAAGATAATAGAAATCATACAGTTCTAAGATTGTCTGTATAACCTTTAATTAAATTGCTAATATTTCTAAAGTGCAAATCTTTGAATAACAGTGAGTTGGGAAAAGCCAAAAAGTATCTGTGTTGATATTCTTTCTAAAAATTAAACCTTAAGAAATAAAGAAGTTATAGCTGAATGAAAGAATTATTTATTAGTTTTGCTTAGAGAAGTGAATTTATTGGAGTCAGTTTCACAAAGGCAACAAGAGATATAATTTCACATCATACTTTATCTTCTCAGGTGGTAATATACTACCTCAAGGATAAACTGTGGCTTATGCACCAACATTTGTTGCAGAGGATGGAATAGATAAATTTTGTAAGGAGATCACTGCTGGCAAGATGGCTGCCTGAATGGGAGGCAGATTATCCAATTCCCTAGAGTACAGGGATAACCTGAGGAAGCCCCAAGGTGGCCAGAAAGCCTCAGGATGGTGACCTTGGAAGCCCTTTGGCACTGCAGTAGGCAGCTATGCAGCAAAGTAGAATGGTGCATCACTGTCTTTGTGTGGTGGCCTTTAGACTTTAAACTGCAGTGCTCAAATTGAGACAGCTCAGGTCAAGAGACTTTGAGGACTCTAACATTCTGTTATGAGATAGTAGAAAGTGTCTTGAATTTTCAATGCTCTGTATCTTGAAGATCCATGGAGAGTCTCCCTTAGAAGGTAGAGGTTAGCACAAGAATTGAAGAGCCATAAGGTGAGACAAACAGTCCTCTCCTGTCCACCTAAAAGCATGGAATGGGGTACAGCCTGTTACTCGCACAAAGCCTCTGCTGGAACTTGAGTTAGAGAGAGGAGTAAATCAAATAAGTCACAAAGCAATATAAAAAATAACAGTAAACCTAAAGATCCTCCAAAAGGAGAAAGTAACTGTAATGACAGCATACAGAGGCTCAAAGGAAAACTGGATTTTCCACAAAGATTACATGAATTCCTAGAAGAAATAAAAAAGGAAATGAACGCTCCTGAGGAAAGAACTGACAGGAAAATAAGTAGCTTAGAAGAGTTATAAACCTCATTCAAGAAATGAACTCCCTAAAAACTAGATCAAACAGAAAAAAAAAAACTCCATGAGACAGAAATAACAAAATGAAAACATTTGGAAAAGAAAAAGAAAATTTAAGATATCTGATGTCATAAGAAACTGATCTAGAAAACAGGTCAAGTAGAGCTAATTTAATAATTACTTGACTCAGAGAGGGTGAGGCCAAGATGGCAGAGTAAGGCAGGAACTCACTGGAACTTACCCAAATTCACCTCCAAATAGCTGTAAAATAACAACTCAAATTGAATTCTGGAGCAACAGAACCAACAGAAGACAAAGGTGAAATAATTTTCTAGACTAAGACAACTTAGAATATCAGCAAAAAAGATTTCTCTCACTTGAGTAAAAGGGGAGCAAAGTCTTGTGCAGATGGCATCCAGGCAAGCCAGCAGCAGGCAGTACCTCAGCATGGTAGCAGTGAGGCCCCTTGCCCTGGGACAGGTCAACACAGAGTCACTATGCTCCTACAACAGACTAGCAATGAAGCCCTGTGCCTTGGTGCAAGAAACATGTCAGTGCTCCATCCACCCCAGGAGCAGAGCCCAGTTTTAACATAAAGTAAAAGTCACAAAATAGGCTGGAAAATGAGCAAGGGAAAAAAAAACACCTGACCATAGAAAGTTACTATGATGACAAGGTAGATCAAAACACAAACTCAGAAGACAAAAATTGTCAAAATGGCTACATGCAAAGCCTCAAAGAAAAATGAGATTGGTCTCAAGCCCAAAAACAACTCCTGGGAGAGCTCACAAAGGATTTTAAAAATCAAATAAGAGAGGCAGAAAAAACTGATTAAAGAAGTGAGAATGGTGCAAAAAAAAATCATGAAAAAAAAGAGTCAACAGCTTGGTAAAGGAAGCACAAAAAATGGAAAAGAGTGTGCAAAAATTCACTGAAGAAAACAACTTCTTGAAAAGTAGAATTGGCCAAGGGGAAAAGGAGGTACAAGAATTTGCTAAAGAAAATAATTCCATAGAAATTAGAATAGGGCAAATGGCAGCTAATGACTCCCTGAGACATCAAGAAACAATCAACCAAAATAAAAAGAAGAAAAAAACAAGAAGAAAATGTAAAATAGGTAATTGTAAAAATCCTGACCTGGAAAATACATTGAAGAGATATTATTTAAGGATTATTGGACTACCTGAAAGCCATGATAAAAAAAAAAAGTTGAGAAACCATATTTCAAGTTTTATCAGGGAAAAACTACGCTGATATCCTAGAAGCAGAGGGTAAAATAGAGATTGAAAGAGATCCCCAAGTGATAACTCTCAGAAATATTATAGCCAAATTCCAAAGCTCCCAGGTCAACGAGAAAATATTGCAAGTAGCCAGAAAGAAACAATTCAAATATCATGGAACCTCAATCAGGATAACACAAGATTTAGCAGCTCATACATTAAAGGATCAGAGAACACGGAATATGATATTCCAGAAGGCAAAATAACTTACAAGTTTTTCTGGGGAGAAGGTCAAAGCAATCAGGGTTAATTGACACAGCTAATAAGTGTCAAATGTCTGAGGCAAGATTTGAACTCATGTCCTCCTGACCTCAGAGCTACCATGTTCTATCCACTGTGCCACCTAGCTGCCCCTAAAATTACAACCAAGAATCATCTGCCCAGTGAAACTGAGTATAATCTTTCAGTTGGAAAAATTGACAGTCAGTGAAATAGTGGACTTTCAATCATTCCTGATGAAAAGACCATTTATATTCCTATATGGGAAGATGATTCTTGCAGTTACAAGGAGTATACATGGACAGGGACATAGATGTAAATTGACTTTGGTGGGATGATATTTTTAAAAAATTTAAAAAATTAAGGGGAGAGAAAGAGGATTGTACTGGAAGAAGAGGGAAAGGAGAGTAGAATTGGGTAAATTGTCTCATGTGAAGAGGCGCAGAAGACCTATTACAGTGGAGGGAAAAGATGGCGGTGAGGTGGCCAGCGATGCTTGAACCTTATTGTCATTGCAATTGGCTCAAAGAGGGAATAACATACACACTCAGTTGGGTGTAGATATCTATATTACTCTACAGGAAAGTTGAAGGGGAGGAGGCAGTGTTCAGAAGCAAAATGCTTATGAGGAAGTACAGAGTAAAAGGAGAGAGAGAGAAAGAAGATAAACTGGGGAAAATAGGATGGAGGTAAATATAGTTAGTAATCATAACTGTGAATGTGGATGGTATGAACTC